ATTTTGCCATGTTGTTAAAGTTAGGCCTTTATAACTTCCCCACCACCTTTTGTCCTTCTTGTAGTTACCTGCCTCTTGAGGTAGGTTAGATTATGTTTACTATTTAGTATATCCAGCAGTAAGAATCACTTTGTGTTATTAGGTGTTTATGATCTTACTATTTGTAACATCTTCCTATTAAATAATGAGGATCATATATGGCATCAGGAATAAAACTACTGGACAAATTCAATATAATTTTATGGTAGGTGGTAAAATCACATATAGATCTTGGTTTGTAATGACAGTAATGACAGGGCCACATGCTGCTGGAAGAAAGCATTATGTGCCGAATGTATCTTATTCTTGTTTTATTTTTCTGCTCATTATTTATGTATTTTCTGTTTGTTTGAACTCATTGAAAATTTTTGAGGGGGATATTACCCATACAAAAAACCTTTGTATGTAGTTTTCATGATGCAGATAGCTCTGTGGCCTGTGTGTTAGTCATTTAGTGCCATATTTTCATTGTTCAAGAATCAGCTTATCAACATACTACAAGTTAACTAAAGGATTATTTCTTTTCTTTTTTAATTTTTTTAAATGTTTGTTTATTTTTGAGAGGGATCAAGAGTGCACGCAAGGGAAGAGCAGAGAGAGAGGGAGGCAGAATCCAAAATAGGCTCCAGGCTCTGGAGTTGTCAGCACAGAGCCTGACGAGGGGCTCAGACTCAGGAGCTGTGAGATCATGACCTGAGCCAAAGTCAGATGCTTAACCAACTGAGCCACCCAGGAGCCCCAACCAAAGGATTATTTGAAGTAGTTTTTGATTTAGAGAATCTTTTTTAAATTAAAGTCCCAGTAGTATAATTTTCACTCCCATTTTCAGCTCATTATTTCAAATAACATTAAATGTTAATAATATAATAACCAAGCATTTAACATATAGAGTAGATATCAGAGAGGATGTTAGAAAACATCTTACCCAATCTCCAGTGCCATAGTTCCTTCTACTGTGTTCTTGACAATAGTCCAACCTGCTGAGCCATTCAGTTCACTGTTGTGTGAGACAACCCTTTGCATTGTTGAGTGGTTCCTGTTTTTAGTTTTTTCCTAATCTTGAGTTGAAATCCGTATCTTTATAATTCAAACATACCATCTTTTGTATGGCATGCCTTCAAACATTAGAAGACTATTAATTGTATTGACTAATTATTAGACTAAGCATACCAAATTTTCTCTTTATTTCATTGCATGGTGTGCTGGATACCCTTATGAATTTCCTCTCAGTGACATCCAGAGTAGGATACTACTGGGGTGGTATGATTATACAGTATACTCTGTCTTCACTTGCATCGTATACTAGGTGAGGCTTGGGTGTATATATATATGTTTGAACATTGTGTACGGTATATATAGACTTAACTATCACAGTAATTGTAGATGTAGTATTTCAGTTAATTAAGATTTGTTTTTGCAATTAGAATGGCAGTTGTGAATGTTTTTTTCTTCTTGACCCAATCTCCTATATGACTAACTGAAGTTGTCATGTGTTCTCAAGGATAATTTAAATGAACATGGGGTTTGTGAAAATCTGACAGATCTTAACTATAACTCAGCTAGTGGGCAACATTATAATGTATTTATAGCTGTGTAATATAGCTATTAATGAGCTAATGTAGAATGAGGGCAAATCGTATTATATCTTTGTATGAAATTATACTACATGACAAAGGTTGATATTATGTAATAAGTACCCACAAAGTATTAACCTATTTGCAATAAATACAATTAATAATGTACATAAAAGAATGAAATTAAGCTAATTTTATCAAAAATTATTCATGAACAGAAAGTGGACAGCATAGATTTGATGACAGGAAGGTTGTATCTAATCTGAATTACTGAGTGACCTAGGAAGCTTGCTTAGAGGGATTACAGAATAATTATGTTAATATGCAATTATCACCTCATTTCTTCTGTAGTAACCTCAAGATGTAGTGTAGTGAGGGTGTTATAGCAAGTGCTGATAGTTTGCAAAAATACTGATGTTTGAAATTTCTAAGACAATAAGTCTAGCTTGAGGCATAAAAGTGATGATCTGTCATCTTGAAGACAGATCTGACCTTTGTACTGTTTTTTTTTTTTAATGCTCACAGTGTATAACTACAGGCAGTTATAGCTGTAGAACTCATTATGATTTTCTAGAAACTGAAATATGTTTTATGTAGATTTAAAGTTCCATTTGCAGCTTTTTATAAGTGTGTGAATTTTTTTCAAGAACATTTTAAAATTCATTTAAAAGAAAAATTCTGTGGTTATATGATGACATGGAGGAGGACATAGTAATAGTGTCTAAGCATTTTATTAAAATATCCTATTGGATAATAGCAAATTCACTGAAATTTGAGGAGTCCAAACAATATAACATTAGTTTGATTATTTTAATTTATTAGCTTCCCTTTTTTGAACTTTATGAATGATGTCTACCTTCAAATGTGTCCCCTACTTAGTTACATTAACATAAACTGGTGTTGATGGCTCTGTTACATATATTTGACTATATAAAGATAGTTGGAAGAACTTTGAAACAGTGTGAAATTAGGTTATTGGTCAAATGCTTTCTTGCCTAGATGCCACATAACCATCCGTGAATGTAGGGAAATAAATTTTGGTGTCAAAATTCTAGATCCATTATTCACTGTAACAGATTTTGATGATTCAGCGTTCTGCATTATATCTCAATGCAACAGCTATGATTTTAGAATATTGTTAAGAAAAAATGTACTTGGAACATGTTTTGGTTAAGATATATTCTGAAAATTAAACCAGGAAAATTTTTTTATTATTGCTAAAATACTAGCTTGCTGAAACAGTTTCTTATAGCGTATTTTTTAAACTGATGGAGTAGATTTTTTAATATCAATGTGCTAAAAAGAAATTTTCTGAAAAAAGAACAACCTCTGTTTTTGAGTAGAGAGATCATTAATTTGGGGACACATTAGGCATATTTCTTTAGGTGTGAAGGAAAACTTTGTTAAAGTCTTCATTTTATATTTTAACAATATCTAATCTGATCTTTTGTTTTTTTCCTTCCGCTAGATGTGTTTAAAGATAGAGGATATATCACATACATATATTCTTCCTGTGTTTTTGTGGCAAAACAGTTTGGTATCTTTAGAATGTGAACTTATGGAAGGCTCATATTAAGGCCATTCTGGTAATGAGAATGCAGTCTCCAAGCAGACATGATATTCTCATAGTTTGTCACCCTGCTGTTCAGGGGGTACCAATGAAGTTGCTTTAAATGGGAAGCGTCTGTTCCATCTCTGAACCTCTAACACCAGAACAGATGGGTGGAACATGGAACATAGAAGGTTGTACCTCTGAGGTGGTAACAGTGAAGCCACTCATTAACACTGAATTTACCACTTCGTTAGCAACATTGCTTCCTGTTGAGAAAAGCTAATATAGGCTTTCAAATTGACTGAGCATATATTTGTCTACCCCTGTGATTATAATAAGTAGGAACACTAAGTGTCTTTCAGGCTAGTTTTTTAAAAATTCTGTTGTCCATTTCAGATTTATGAGATCGTTCCTATTTGGACATTTTACCTTTTTATGTACTTTAATGAGAAATGTCAGGAATGGGTAATAGTATAGCATCAAGATTTGCTTTTCTTTTCATTGACATTTACACACTCTTCCCTAACACATGTTTATGTGCTGCCCATTTTTAACTTCTGTGTATGTGATGTAGAGACTCCTGCTGGGTGCTACATTAGCACCATTTTGGGGTGATAGCATTGAATATGATCTTATTGGAAGTCTATTTTTATTGCTGTGGATGTCTGCCAATCTCAGAACAGAATTCTGAGACCTATGAGGGGCAGAAAAATTGTTGGTATACATAATAATGCCAAAGAAAAGATATTTGCAGTATTATTTATAATATTTGTTGTATTAAAGAACACATCTTGTGGAAAGAATAAGCTCGTTATAAGCGCTTGTTCTCAGTTGTGAAATACGAAAGTAATTAGAAATAATTCTTTTATTCTTTAACTAGACTTAATGTTTTACAGCACATGTAGTTGGTACCATAAGAGATTAGAAATAATGAACTGTATTGAAAATGTTTTAATTTCTAAATATCAGATTAAGTTCATGCTGTCTTAAAATAGTATTATTACTTGTCATTCAAGTAATATACAAGTACAAATTTAAGTACTATGAAGGAGAAGAAGAGAGCAGAAACCTAGCATGTCTTGTTTGCGGGTTTCCGAATAATAGAGCAGTTCCTGGCACATGGTAAGGGCTCAATAAATATTTGGAGAATGAATAAACTGTACTTACTACCATGTGCAAAAGGAAAAGAAATAATGGAATTTTATGCCAGTACTTCAGATAGTTCATACCTAGGGTTGCCAAATTTCAGATTCTTTAAAGTGTACTTGAGGATTATTGGATATTTTGAAGGCCTTGCTATAATTGCTGAGTCAAGAAGTCAGAACCATGGTGGAATTTGCATTAGTTGAATGGGGTATCTAAGTTTCATGGGAAGAAAATTGTCTCCTCTTAGACACTTTTGCTTTGATTTTACAGCTATGTTTTTATTCACTCAACATGTTAGTCCTTTATTCACCAAATACTGCCTGAGCACCTTTGCCAAGCACTGTGCTAGCTTCTAAAGATATGAAGGTGACTAGGTATAGTCCCTGCCCTCAAAGAGTTTACATCCTCCCTACCAGGGAGACAGGTAGTTGCAGTATAATGTGCCCATTTCTAATATTGCTCTTCTCTAGATGTTTTGTATATATTCAATATTGGTTGTTGTTGCTTAGCACAAAGAAAAAAATCAACCTAACCTTTTTTAAAGTTTTTCTTCATTCTTGGAAAATTATTAGGACCTCCACATAAAAAGAATGGAATTATGCTAATAAAAATGTGTACTTTGAACTCTCCATACATTCTACTAGAATTTTTTTCATGCAAATCTAAATTTTTTTTCTTCCATTTTCTAGACTAAATGTGTTAAATGGGCTTGCCAACAATATGGATGATTTGAAGATAAACACCGATATTACTGGTGCTAAAGAAGAACTCCTAGATAACAACAGTTTTATCTCAGACAAAGAGAGTGGAGTTCATAAACCAAAAGATTGTCAGACATCATTTCAGAAAAATAATACACTCACTCTGCCTGAAGAACTGTCAAAGGACAAATCTGAAAAAGCCTTAAGTGGAGGCCAGTCTACTCTATTTATACATGCTGGTGCTCCTACTGTTTCTAGTGAAAACTTTATCTTGCCTAAAGGAGCTGCTGTTAATGGACCAGTTTCACACTCCTCCTTAGCTAAGACTTCCAGTATGAATAAAGGCAGTGTTTCATTAACCACTGGACAACCTGTGGATCAGCCAACAACAGAATCTTGTTCAGCTTTGAAGGTGGCACCTGATCTTCAGCTATCTACACCACAGAAAGCAAATCAACACCAAGTTTTATTTTTGTTATCAGATGTAGCACATGCTAAGAATCCAACCCATTCCATTAAAAAACTACCTACCTCTGCTTCCGTTGGTTGTGACATTCAGAATTCAGTAGGGAGTAGTATAAAGTCAGATAGCACTTTAATAAACCAAGTAGAGGTGGGTGAGGATAGTGATGATTTATTGGTAAAAGATGATTGTGTCGATACATTAACAGGAATCTCCTCAGGTACAGATGAATTTAGGTCAGAAAATGAGACAAACTGGGATCCCCAAAAAGAGTTCATTCAGTTTCTTATGACTAATGAAGACACAGCAGATAAAGCTCCAGTTCACTCCAAAGTAGGTCTAGAAAAAAAGAGAAAGCGGAAAATGGATGTAAGCAAGATAACTCGTTACACTGAAGATTGCTTTAGTGATTCAAATTGTGTACCCAATAAGTCAAAAATGCTAGAAGTAGACTTTCTAGAACAGAATGAAGAACTACAAGCAATAGACTCACAGAAATATGCATTATCAAAAGTGAAGCCTGAATCAACTGATGAAGACTTGGAATCTGTGGATGCTTTTCAGCATCTAATTTATAACCCAGATAAGTGTGGCGAAGACAGTTCACCCGTTCATACTAGCACTTTTCTTTCTAATACCTTAAAAAAGAAATGTGAAGAAAGTGATTCCGAGTCACCTGCTACTTTCAGCACCGAAGAGCCATCATTTTACCCCTGTACAAAGTGCAATGTGAATTTTAGGGAGAAGAAGCACCTCCACAGGCATATGATGTATCATTTAGATGGGAATAGCCACTTTCGTCATCTTAATGTCCCAAGGCCATATGCTTGTAGAGAATGTGGACGGACATTTCGAGATCGTAACTCACTTCTAAAGCATATGATTATTCACCAAGAAAGAAGACAGAAGTTGATGGAGGAAATTCGCGAATTGAAAGAACTTCAGGATGAAGGAAGAAGTGCACGATTACAGTGCCCTCAGTGTGTGTTTGGTACCAATTGCCCTAAAACATTTGTGCAGCATGCTAAAACCCATGAAAAAGATAAAAGGTACTACTGCTGTGAAGAGTGTAACTTCATGGCAGTGACAGAAAATGAATTAGAATGCCATCGAGGCATTGCCCATGGAGCGGTGGTAAAATGCCCTATTGTCAGTTCTGATATAGCCCAGAGAAAAACGCAAAAAAAGACTTTCATGAAAGACTCTGTTATAGGATCATCCAAAAAATCAGCTACCTACATATGTAAGATGTGTCCTTTTACGACTTCAGCCAGAAGTATTTTAAAAAAACACATGGAGTACTTGCATTCATCATCATGTATTGATTCATATGGTAGTCCACTTGGACTTGATAAAAGAAAAAGTGACATTCTTGAAGAACCTATAGATATTGATAGCACTAAACCTTTAATTAAACAACAGTCAACCACATTTCCAAAGAACTCTGCTTTAAAACAAGATGTAAAGCGAACATTTGGATCATCCTCACAATCAGGTAATTTTTCCAAATTCCATAAGCGGCCACACAGAGTACAAAAAGCTCGGAAAAGCATTGCCCAGTCAGGTGTAAATGTGTGCAATCAAAACAATTCTCACAAGACTGTTATGATTAAAAGCAGCACTGACCAAAAACCTAGGTATTTCCATCAAGCAGCAAAAGAAAAATCTAATGCCAAGGCGAATAGCAACTATTTATATAGACACAAATATGAAAACTACAGAATGATCAAAAAATCAGGTGAATCATATCCTCTACATTTCAAAAAAGAAGAAGCCAGTTCACTAAACTCTTTACATCTGTTCTCATCATCAAGTAATTCTCACAACAATAGTTTTATTTCAGACCCTCAAAACTCTGACACAAAAAGGCCAGAAAGCTTCAGAGAACACAGGCGTGTAGCTGTAAAGAGAGTAGTTAAGGAATCCAAGAAGGAAAGTTCTGTTGGAGGAGAAGACTTGGATAGCTATCCAGATTTCTTGCATAAAATGACTGTTGTTGTTTTGCAAAAACTTAATTCTGCTGAAAAGAAAGATAGCTATGAAACAGAAGATGAAAGTTCCTGGGATAATGTTGAGCTAGGTGACTACACTACACAGGCCATAGAAGATGAAACCTATAATGATATTAATCAAGAACATGTAAACTTATTCCCGCTTTTTAAAAGCAAGGTAGAAGGTCAAGAGCCTGGAGAAAATGCTACCCTTAGTTATGACCAGAATGATGGCTTTTATTTTGAATATTATGAAGACGCTGGAACTAATAACTTTTTGCATGAGATACATGATCCTCAGCATTTAGAAAATGCAGAAACTTCATTGTCAAAGCATAGTTCTGTTTTTCACTGGACTGATCTGTCTCTTGAGAAGAAATCATGTCCTTACTGCCCAGCAACATTTGAAACAGGTGTTGGGTTATCAAATCATGTTCGAGGACATCTTCACAGAGCTGGATTAAGTTATGAAGCCCGTCATGTTGTATCACCGGAACAAATAGCCACAAGCGACAAAATGCAGCATTTCAAAAGAACTGGCACAGGGACACCTGTTAAGCGAGTTAGAAAAGGTAAGTTTCCACGTGGATAATTTGGGTTACTATGTCTATTCAGATTGAAAGAATTTGAAGGTTTTGTTCAAATTTGGTCTTTATTAGAAAAAAGAAAAAATAATTTTATTTTTCAGAGTTAATTGGCTTTAAGATGATCACTTTACAAAAAATTCTGATGTTACTCTTAAAAAATTTTTTTTTAGCTATAGAGAAGTCTGAAACCACTTCTGAACACACTTGTCAGCTCTGTGGTGGTTGGTTTGATACTAAAATTGGATTATCGAATCATGTTAGAGGCCATCTGAAAAGACTTGGAAAGACCAAATGGGATGCTCATAAATCTCCAATCTGTGTTTTGAATGAAATGATGCAAAATGAAGAAAAATATGAAAAAATCTTAAAAGCATTGAACAGTCGTCGTATTATTCCCAGACCATTTGTAGCTCAAAAACTTGCATCAAGTGATGACTTTCTATCTCAAAATGTTATACCTCTTGAAGCATACCGTAATGGCCTAAAGACTGAAGCTTTATCAGTGTCTGCATCAGAAGAGGAAGGGCTGAGTTTCTTAAATGAATATGATGAAACAAAACCAGAACTGCCCAGTGGAAAAAAGAATCAGTCTCTTACACTGATAGAACTGCTTAAAAATAAAAGGATGGGAGAAGAAAGGAATTCTGCTATTTCTCCTCAAAAAATTCATAATCAAACTGCAAGAAAGAGATTTGTTCAGAAGTGTGTTCTTCCATTAAGTGAAGACAGTCCGTTGATGTATCAGCCACAAAGAATGGACTTGACTATGCACTCAGGTAAGAGGATGTTTATGACCATTGTGTATAATTTAAACAGTTTAATTATGCTTACTTTTATGGAATATTTGTAGGAAATACTTCTTAGAATGTTTTTACTTAAGCTGCTTTTTTTGCAGAGCAGAGATTGGTTATACTGTCATTTCTATATAAATCATCAGTTGATGCTCATCAGCACTGAATTGTCTGTGCCTCATTTCTTGGTCAGAATGTAAGGTGAGAACAAAAAACAAAATAAAAACCAAAAAGCTGATCTGTAAAAATAAAATCTGCTATGGCTGGGGAATGGTCCTATGGATGGGAGGTTGACGTTGTTCAGAAGCATAGCATTACTGGAATGGCAAACCTGTTCTCTATTTGCCAGTGCTCCAAGATGATAATGGTTTCAAGATTTAGCTATTGGTTTTCCTTCTGCTTAGGTCAAACAAACAAACAAAAATGGATTGGTGTCTGTTGTGTGTTGTGATTAACCCAAAGAAACTTCTCCTTCTCCAGTTCCTCGTTGTATTGTGGGATAGTTCGGTTTTGGAGAACTGTTGTGAGTATAAAATATTTGTTTGGGGTTTTGCAGCGGTGGTCTAATGGAACAGAACAGATGTTGAGGTTAGTGCTTGTGCACGAATAGTTTTTCCTTTTCAAAAGAACAGTTTGTATTGGCAAATGATGTAGCAGATAAAATAGCCTAACTATATTTGTTATTGCTAAGTCTGGTTTATACTTTTAGATTAGAAAAATTTTAAGTGTCTTTGTCGGTTTCTTTTGGAGGTTAAGAATGTCGATGATTGATTAACTTTGTGGTCTCGTAATTTTAGCCCTGAGTTGAACGTGTCTGAGGTAAAAGTAACTGGTCAGTGGGTTAATAATGAATACAATTACTATAATGTTGATTTGTTTACTTGGGACAGCCCAGATATTTGTTTGCAGTTTTGATTTAAGGAAAGATTACCTTGTGTTGTAAGTGGTCTGAAAAATGGTCCTGTATGAATTTCTGGTTAATACGGTTCTTTTGTACGAAGAGAGTCTTTCAAAATCAAATTTTGAACATTTTTCAGAAGAAGAAAATGTAAGAAAGGTGTGTCAGCTGTGTTGACTGAGGTGTAGTACACTTGAGAGATGGAAACCGTATTTGTGGCTCTCATAGCTCATGTTGAAGAAACCAACTGAAACGAGTTGGGGGAGTGAGAATTGTCTTAGAAGTTAGGAGTTTCTTATTGTTTTCAACATGTTTTCTTTCCTGTGATGATTAAGATGTTAGCTTGTTGATCATTTATTTAGCACAAAGATTTTAGCAAAAAACTTCAAATCATTAACTTTCATTATTGATTGCGCATTCAGAGTAATGAACATAAAATGCCCTGAATAAAATGTTGTGTCTAACAGCTGCTCAGTGGTGTGTTTTACCACCTTTTCTCCCAGCCTTCATCAGAAAGCCTAATTTAGTATTGAGCCTTTTACGGTTTTGTGGGTAAAACACTTTAATTACCACTTTGTCAACTAGACTTTTTAATTCTTTGTATTGGTAAGTTGCAAGCTTTGAAACTTCTCAACTGAACAGTGCTCTTCAAATCACAGGATTGTATTTTAGGTTTAGGAAATGATCTGCGTAACACAGAAATCTGCAAGAAAGTGATAATAGGTGTTAAATCCAGAGGAGCTTAGAGGTTCAAGGCACTCCTCTTCCACCTTTCCAAAGAGCATGGGTTGGCTCTAAATACTAACTACAAACTAATAACATTTAACTTAGGGGGGGGGGGGGGGGGGGGGGGGGGGGGGGGGGGGGGGGG